CGTTTCTTTTTTGTATACTATTAGTAATAAGTGTGCGTTGTATTGGATGGATGTAATGGAAGAAACTTTATTCCTACGTAGACTGAGTTGTGATGGACTCAGGTTTTTGGCTATCAACAGAATAGAGTCGAATAGAACAAAGGATGAAATGAATGAATGTTTTATTTATGGTCTATCGGATGGCGGATCGATTGAAGTTTATCAATCTAACAAGCATTTGTTATCATTCAAAGTTTCTGAGTTGAAAGGAATGTTGGGTTTGGAATGGATTATTCCTTTTCGAGTTTACTTTACAAAAAATGTCCATATTTTGAACATTTGTAAAGAGCATTTAGCTCTTGCTTATGTATTCATGGAGTGGGATACTTCTTCAAGCTGTTATATATTACACTTTATGATACAAAGTGATAACCAAACCAGAGTAAAAGTAAAGAACATTTCTCTGGGTTTTCTTGGCAACAAGAAGCTTGAAAAGTGGAATCTGTCAATGGAGCCGAATCCGCTGCTTTGGTTGAGTACTCGTGATGGAATGGTAATATTGATTGATATGGAACGTTGTCAACATATTGGAAATATTGTGCTTACAAAGACAGAAAGTGACAAAGGACTCATTGACTTTCTTAGCTTTGATAACAGAGCTGTTGCTGTATGGAAGGATGCTCCTGGCCTGATTCATCTTTGGCAAAATCTTCATATGTAGAGTAGCAAAGTTTTCCATTGGAATATGTTGAGATATATAATAGAAGGGTATTAATAGAGAGCTTGAAAAGATCATCGCGTTGGAATAGTTAAAACGAAACAGAAAACTTTGGAAGTGTTGACTGGGAACACTTTGGCATAGATGTATTTTATGGAACAACAACGAGTGCGTTTGCCTCTCGTATCCAGTATTTCAACTTTTGTATATACAAGTATTATCAAGTATATATATTGAGATAGTTGCAAATAGAAACTATTTCTGAGTGTACTTTTCTATTCCAATAGTGACCATGTCACATCATCATTTTGCTCAAGGCCCAAATCATAATTCATTCCCATTCATTTTCGTCGTCGATACCGGCAAAGATTATAGTGTGTGGTATATTATGGCAGATCCTCAAACGGAACGAGCCTTTCAGAAGCAGGACGCTATTTCTTTAAAGCAAATTGCGGGTGTATCCAAGAAAAACGCTAGATGGTACAAGAATATTGGTTTGGGGATCAAAACACCAAAGGAAGCCATTGAAGGGGATTACATCGATAAGAAGTGTCCTTTTACGGGAAACGTTAGTATTCGTGGAAGAATATTGAGAGGAACAGTCGTTTCTACTAAAATGAAGAGGTAAGTGGTAGGAAGCTTGTCGAGTTTTTGACTATATGTTCCTTTTAGGACGGTAATCGTTCGACGAGATTATCTTCACTGGGTTTCCAAATATAAACGCTTTGAAAAACGACACAGGAATATACCGGCTCATTGTTCCCCTTGTTTTCGTGTTAGAGAAGGAGACTTGGTGACTATCGGAGAGTGTCGTCCCTTATCCAAGACAGTTCGTTTCAATATTCTTAGAATTGATCGAGCAGCACCGGCATCTGAAGCTGGGAAGAAAATCTATAGCTCTATATAAACTTGTCTTTCTACTGGATATCTTTGCATGATATTTATTTATATATCAGCACTTTATGAAAATAGTTGCTTGATTTGTTGATACACAATAGTAGAAGACTAGATATAGAATGGCATGAAAGTGTTGCGTATATTCACTCATAGGATATAATAAGACTATTCTTTCAAAAGACGTGAGGAATTGTCCAATGGAATCTTTCTCTGGAGGGCTTACATCGAAATCCAGAAGGGACATCCGCAATCGAATCGATTTGGTCGTGACTCTAAAATCATAGAGAAATGAGCGTCGCACTGCTATAAAACAAGTTATTCACAAAGTTTTGTCG